GCTGAGCCACCCCGACCGCGTTCTGGGCAGTTCTGGAGCGGCGTGGAGTTGGGGGCCGAGGAGTGACAGCAGGAGACCAGGGTACCTGCGGCCCTGATCTGCCTGGGCCCGAGGCCGGCCGAGGGCTGCGGTGGAAACTTTAGGTCCTCCACACACGCGAGCCTCACAAAGCCCTTTGAGGAGTGAAACTCATCTCTCCCACTTCACAGATGAGAACACTGCGGCTCCGAGGGTCCCTTCAGAGGGATTCTTTCAGCCGCTGCCTCACAGGGACAACGGGAACCCCGTGAATTTGTGTGACTGTAAGTGTTGGGTTCACCGAATTCAGTGTTTTTTCATTTTATTTGAGCCTCGGGTTCCCCTCATCTTGCAGGTTAAAGAAAACAGGCTATGAGAGGTGGAGGAGAAATCTTAAGAAAAATGGAAAGGGTCGAGAAGCCTCTAGGTTCTCTCCCTTTTTGTGAGGACGGCCCATCCTGCTCACCTGCCTCCTCCACTCCAAAGCGTTTTCCACTGTCCTGGCTGGGGATGAGCCCTGGATTTTAATTGCGTGCCCAGGGGCTGAAGCCACAGCGCCTTCCTGGGCTGGCTGGGGGGTCTTTAGCTGGGACCCGGCATCTCCTCCAGGTGCCGCCTCCCCGACTGAGATGAGCCAAGTGGCGCAAGTGATGAAATGGAACCCCAGAGCCAAGAACAGGGACCCGGGCCGGGAGCTAGGAGTCCCTGAGCCTGGCTGCTGGCCAGACCCTACGGTCTCTGAGCCAGTTTTTCTCTGTGTAATCCTGGTTGGACTAAGAACCTTCCTGCGGGAAACGTACCGTGAGTGGCACCTCCTTATGCTACAGTGTCACAGAGTTTCCTCTGCCCCTCACTTCTGCCATATGCTTTCCGAGGCCCACTCGGGTCCCAGGCCTGTGCTGGGTGGAAGGGACCCTGGTTTGTTCTTGAGGACAAAAGATTTCCCATGTGCTGCGTGAAAGGAGCACAGTGGAAATGACCAGCTCCTGCCCAGCCAGCTTCCATGGCAGCACGCCCTCCCTCAGGCAGTCACTCGCCCATCTGAGTCCTGTTCTCCATCCGGGAAGGGGATGGTGAGACTCCAGCTGGCTCCCACAGTATTGGAGGGATGGGAGGTGGCATGAGAAATATGCCCAGCACACAGGATGGTCGCCACTGCATCGCGTCCCCTTCCCAGGCTGCCCTGCCTGCTGTTGCCCTACTAAGGGGCAGCAAGTGTTTTTACGTGACCCTCCCCAGCCATTAAGGGCAGAGCTGAGTCACTGCTTTACCAGACACAAACTTGCAGCTCTTCCGAGGGAAGCCTCCCACTGCTGCTGGCCCAGGTGTGGGGGAGGCCGCCAGAAGCAGCAGCACCACCTGCCAGTGCCGTGGGCCCTTCCACCCCTGGCCACCAGCCCTCCTGCCTCACCTTAGGCTGGCTGCCCTGGAAAGGATGGGAAGAGATTTTTTTTTTTTTTTGAGACGGAGTCTGCTCTGCCACCCAGGCTGGAGTGCAGTGGAGTGATCTCGGCTCACTGCAAGCTCCGCCTCCCAGGTTCAAACGATTGTCCTGCCTCAACCTTACCTAAGTAGCTGGGATTACAGGCGTGCACCACCACACCTAGCTAGTTTTTGTATTTTTAATAGAGATGAGGTTTCACCATGTTGGTCAGGCTGGTCTCGAACTCCTGACCTCATGATCTGCCCTCCTCGGCCTCCCAAAGTGTTGGGATTACAGGCGTGAGCCACCGCGCCCGGCCGAAGAGATGTTTTTAAAATGTCTACTCTTCTGTCTGCACAAGAAACCACCCCCCTTATCTCCTGGGGAGCTCTTCCAGTCCTGCCATGAAGGGGTTGTGGTTACCCCCATTTCACAGCTGGGTTGAAGCCAAGGCAGGCTTGAGGCAGGCTGTCTCCCTCAGCCTCAGACTGTCCCCTGGGGATTTGGGGTACTGGGGCGGAAGCCTGAGGTCTGGATTCCAGCCCTCTGAGCCTCCCCCCAGTCCTAAACTGGAGAAGGCAGTAGCCTCCCCCTAGTCCTAAACTGGAGAAGGCAGTAGCCTCCCTGGACCCACCTTGAGGACTAAAGGAGAACTGGACGCCCCTTGTCTCAGGTGCCTTGTCTCTCACGTGACCCCTGGTTTGCTCCACCCTGGGCTATCTGCCTCCAGGCCTTCGCTCTTACTCTTCCCTCCGCCTGGAGTTCCTTTCCATCCTCACCCTGTAGCCTCATGTTTAAATCTTCCCTCTGGTTATGGTTCCTCATCCATAAAGTCTTCCCAGGCCCTCCAGGCCCCAGAGCAATTTACGTGATACTCTCAGGTGACCTAGAACTTACTCAGCCATGAGCTCCCTGAGCGAGACCATGAGTGATTCATCCTCATGCCACCAAAGGGCAAGTCCTGCCCGGTGCACAAAAGCTACCTGCACCTGAGTAGTTAACTAGTTTCCAACTGCCGTTTTTAATCGAGTAGTGGGAAATAGGTGATCAGGAGAAACTGGCCTTTGTTGAGCCTCCACTGTGTGCCGGGACTTTATGCACGCTGTTTGATTTCATTCTGTCAGTGTCCTGAAAGGTGGATGACACCCACTCTCACAGGTGAAGAAACAGTCTCAGAAGCGTAACAATGGCACCCCGTGCTTATAGAGCATTTGCTGTGGCCGGGCCCCACTCTGAGCTCTGGGTATGAATCATCTGATCCTCCCAGTAGTCCTCAGAGGGAGGTTCTGTTATTCCCATTGTGTGGATGAGGAAACACCCACAGGATAGTTAAGTAACTTGTTCAAGGTCACTTGTCTAGGAAGTGGTGAAACCAAGATTTGAACCCACACAGCCTGACTCCAGAATCTGCCCGGAAGCCCTCCTTGCCGGCTTGTGGCAGACAGTGCATGAGTGTGGCTGGGCCAGGGACCCCTTTGCTCCACGCACACCAGAAGAGGTCACTTGCCTGCTTGACTAGCCATGTGAGGCAGGACCAAGGCCCTTATCTTCCCGTCCCACCTTGACCTGGGGCCTCGCTTCCTGTTGGCCTGGAGTGGGTGGGGCTGGGCTGGAGGAGGCTTCTCTGTGAGTTGACTCAGCTGTCCTAGTGTTGAAGGGTTCTTCTGTGAGGGGCACATTGGGGTGTGCCCCCAGCCACCAAGATCGTGACTCTTCCATTGACTTCTCTGCCTTTGGGGCCTCTCTTTCCCTGTAATGTGAAGAGGGTGGACTACAGATACCTCCAGCCAGTCCTCGAGGTCCCATCTCCATGCACAGCATCCCGTGGGACAAGGGGCTCTGGATGACAGCTGAGGCGATGGTGGGGTACGTTAGGTCCCCATTCTGACCCTGAAATCTCCAGGAGCTTCAATCTGCCCACCCATAAGACTGTGTGTAGTTGCATTAAACGGGTCCCACTCCTCTGAAGGAGACAAGTTTGTCCTTGAGGCCTGGGTGTGGCACCTTGGGTGGCTTTCTGGAGCCGGTGGTGAAGGCATTAGGGGTAGGGTCTCCTGCCCATGCCCCTGCTGACCTGAGCTCTGGCCCCCAGGTTTTCGACGCTGGGGAAGTGTTTGGGATCATGCAAGTGGAGGAAGTAGAAGAGGAGGAGGACGAGGCCGCCAGGGAGGTGCGGAAGAAGCAGCCCAACCCGGGGAGCGAGCTGTGCTACAAGGTCATCGTGACCAGGGAGAGCGGGCTCCAGGCAGCCAACCCCAACAGGTAGGAGCCTGGCCAGAGACACCACCATGACCTTCACCTGGTGAAAGGTGGGAGATGCAGTAATGCAGATTCTCCTGGGCCCTGCACCTCCGCTGGACATCTTCCTCAGGACGGCTTTGTGGCAAGCACATGTGGCCAGTGGTGTGTCCATCCGGGCTTCAGAGTAGTGTCCATGGCAACACAGAGCATTCCTATGGTGACCAGATGGACTGTGGCCTGACAGCCTCTCCCAGCAGTCTCATTGTCACAGAGGTCCTGCTACAGGCCATTAGGAGTTCGTTTTGCCCGAGGTCACCCTCCAGGTTAAGGGTGCAGGTCAGCCTTACTCCTCCCCGGTCACAGCCCCTTTCTGGTCCTGCTGAATTGGAATCTGGGCTGGGCCCTGGAACACCTGAGGACCTGAGACCCAGAGCAGGCCTGGCCTTGCCAAGGGCCATGGAGTAGTTAGGGCAAAGCTGAGACTGTACCGCAGGCTTCCTGCCCCTAGGGACCAAGAGTGGCTATCCCTAGGACAGGCCTGCAGGCCCCTCTGCCAAAGGTTTTGTGGACCCTCGGAGAAACTTGCTGGGCGCCTGTGTCCATGCACAGCTCTTTGGGCAGGGGTCTGGTCTCTTCTGCAGAGATTCTCCCGCCGCCTCCTCCAGCTGTGAGTGGGCAGTAGCAAGTCACCCCAGAAATATGGAGAGCCCAGCACCCTGGCCCATGCGTGCTCGGGCTCACCCTCCCCTTCAGGTTCAGTGAAGTGAGTTCTGTGCTGCTCAGGCCCAGGAACAGGTGAATTCAATGCAGTGGCTGCCCTTGGAGCTCCCAGCTCACGTTCTTTCTCGGGCGTACAACCACAGAACCCGCTGCTAGCCGTGTTGTGGGTGGTGGGAGGCTGGGAATCCAGAGTCTTGGATTTGGAGGCTGAGCGTTCATTTCAGCCCTACCTGCTTCTGGGCCTTTCTGCTTCCAGGCCTTCATCCCTCTGAGTCTCCCCTGATTGCCAGGCCCCAACAAGCTCTCCATCCTCATCCCCATGCCTATCTTTGTACAGCACCGCTTGTTGCACGTGCCAAGGGTCACCCCGAAGGCCTGGCTCTGCCCTGCATCCTGTGGTCACCCACTGTAGCACAAGCGCAAGAGTAAACCCACTTATTTTAGGACGGGCCAACAAAACTCATGTAAGCACAAGAAGATAAATACTCCTGAACTTGTCCCCCAGCCTAAGAACTGGAACATTGACTGTCCCTTTCATTTTAAAAAGGGGACAGAGACGGAGGCAAGCTGGGGGCTGCTTTGCCCATTAGGCACCTGTTTGGTGCTTCCTAATCCGGCAGGGCTCTGGGAGGATTATGGTCAGCCCTGTGTCCTACAGGGTAGGGACGGCTCGTCCTGTGCCACAGCCCCAACATGCTTCTGTAGGAGCTCAGCTGCAGGGATCCTGTGTGCGGGGACTGGAAGTCTCTCCCACAGAAAAGCCTGGGTGCTTCCAGAAGACCTGGCTGCGTGGGTGAGGCGTGTGGTAGCCCCCGTGCTGTCTGCCTGCGCTGGCCTCCGGCGTGTAGGGCCTTCGCTTTTGTTGAGCAGCTGTGGTGTGCCCGGCCTGCAGGCAGCAAGATGGGAAGCATGGGCTAGCCCTGCAGTGGCCTGAGGTCCAGGTTCATGCTAGTGACTGCTGGTGTGTTTATTGCAAGTGCTTGGTGGACAGTGGGTATACCACGTATCTGGTCTCATTTGCTGCTTGTGACAGCCTGGTGACAGGCTGTAGAGACCCCTGCTGCCCTGTTTGAGAAGCTTGAAGAGGAGGAGGCGCTTGCTCAGGATCACACAGGCAGTGAACAGCAGCGCCAGCACCTGACCCAGGCTCACTGGAGTCCAAACTGGGCATAACTATGGCACCCAGTAGACCAAATCTCAGGAAGCTTGAGCCCTGGTCCCAACACAGCCCTGGGCCTCTTCCTACCCCCACTTCCCTTTGCCCCGTGCCTGCCCGGCAGCCTCACATTGTGGCCTGTGCCCGCAGCATCTTCCTCATCGACCACGCCTGGACGTGCCGTGTGGAGCATGCACGCCAGCAGCTGCAGCAGGTGCCCGGGCTGCTGCACCGCATGGCCAACCTGATGGGCATTGAGTTCCACGGTGAGCTGCCCAGTGCGGAGGCTGTGGCCCTGGTACTGGAGGAGATGTGGAAGTTCAACCAGACCTACCAGCTGGCCCATGGGGTGAGTGGGTAGCTGGGCCCCAGGGACGGGGAGGACAGGCATGGGCACAGACCTCTGCTGCCCTGTGCCATCAGGCCGGGTGAGGGGCTGTCCAGAGCAAATAGCTCACATTCTCCTGTGGCTTCCTGAGGAGCATGCCATCCTGGGGACCTCTGAGCTCACAGGACGCAGCCCTCTCAGACTCCTAAACTCAGAGGGCCCAGATGACTCAGCTGCCGCTTTCCTGGCGCCTCTGATTCTGTCACTCTCTTAAAAGCCCTCAACCGTCCCTCACCCACCCCCGTTGGCCTCTCCGCGGACTCACCCCGTGCTCCAGCCCCTCACCACTCTTAGTTCAGGAAAAGACTCCTGCTTGTTTCTCATGATTTTAGCTTAGATGTCACCTCCTCCAGGGAGCCTTCCTTGAGCTCAAAGACTACTCCCCCCACCTCCCAATTACCCACAAACCCAGATACAACCCTACGGGTGCTGGGCTGTGTGCCTTGTTACCAAACGCCCTTTTACCACGAGTTGTCACACTGCGTTACCCAGGCCTGTGTCCTGGCTGCAAAGGCAGGGCTGCTGTCCCGGAGCCCCTAGCTTAGCTAAAGGGCCTGGGGTATATGTGAGAGGGCCTCCAAGATCAGAGAGGTGGCTGTGGGCTGATGGGTGCTCGATGTCTGGGTTCCGGAAGGGAGTTCCAGTAGGTGGACGGGTGAGCGAGCAGTGCCGTGTGTGCTCTGTCTGCAGACAGCCGAGGAGAAGATGCCGGTGTGGTATATCATGGACGAGTTCGGTTCGCGCATCCAGCACGCAGACGTGCCCAGTTTCGCCACGGCACCCTTCTTCTACATGCCCCAGCAGCTGGCCTACACGCTGCTGTGGCCCCTGAGGGACCTGGACACTGGCGGTAAGTCCAGCACCTGCCCACCCTGGAAGAGGGGCCTCAGCCCAGTGTCCTGTCACCCTCTCTGATGGGCACGCGTGTCTTGGCACAGAGGAGGTGACCCGAGACTTTGCCTACGGAGAGACAGACCCCCTGATCCGGAAGTGCATGCTGCTGCCCTGGGCCCCCACCGACATGCTGGACCTCAGCTCCTGCACGCCTGAGCCACCCGCCGAGCACTACCAGGTGCGGCCCTCCCCCACCCCCGGGCCTGTCTGGCAGCTTCCAGAATGTTCTCTGTGCAGACACCAAATATTATTTAACCCCAGCCGGGTGCCAGGCCCTGAGCCAGTTACCATGGGAGGCAGAGAGAGCTCTGGGAGCCTCTGAGAGACGAGGGGCTCAGAGAGTGAACACAAGCTGCCTGCGGCCGTGCGACTGGGGCTCCAGATCCCAGGGTGCCTGGTGCTGGCGTCCGTCCTCAGGGGGTCCGTGCTGCTCCCTCAGGAAGAAGGGGGCTGTGCAGTTGGTCTTGGCCGTGAACCCCATTCAGCCCCGTCCTCATCTCACCGAGGCACAGAAACACCCTGTGTTCACATATCGCGTGCCTCCCTCACTCAGCAGGCCTGCAAGTTACCATCATGGTCACTGTTATTGATAACAAAAGTGCTTTCAGTCTCGGTCAGGGCCCCAAGGGACCCAGCTGGGCCACTCGGAAGTGCCTGGCTGGAGGTAAGAGCTCATCCAGGCCCCATACAAGGAGGCTGGCAGGTTAGGGAGCCAGAGTTGGCGAGGCCCCAGTGCCAGGGGAGGAAGAGGAGCCTATGGGAACGTAGCCACCTCCAGGACCAGTCAGGGCTGGGTAGGGGGTTCCTACCCTGACCCGTCTCTCCTTCTCCCCTTCCCTTCTCATCTGTTGCTGCTTCCGTAGGCTGGAACCAGCCTACAGGGGAGCCTGTGCTTAGTAGTTTGTGGCCATGTGCCACTCAGTGCCTTACAATTTTACAGTTCTGTTTTTATCTTCATTTTACTGAGGATGAGGACATTGAGACACAGAGAGGTTAAGTCACTTGCCAAGGGTCACACAGCAGGTGGAAGAGCTGGAGTCCAGAACCAAGGAGACCTGGTGGCTTGTGGGCTGAGGCTGCAGGCTTGCCCCACGGTGACTGAAGTCGTCCTTTTTGCACACCAGGCGCTCACTAAGTGCCTCGGAGGGTTGCGGGAAGGGTTAGATGAGTGGGCGCGTGGAGTGGTGGTGTGCTTGTGAGGGCACTCCTCACTGCAGGGGTGGGCTGTAGGGGGGCCTCCTTTCACTTTCGGTCTAAGTCAGTGACGATTGAACCAACCATGCCAAAAACAAGGGGGTCAGTCTTATTGGTTCAAAGGGTGCTTACAAGCCTCCCGGAGCCCCTGCACCAGGAAGGTGCTTAGTACACGTTTGCCTGAAAAAGTGAATGCGTTTGTGGATGCAGCTGGAGGGACAAATGCTTCCTGGTCTTGGGCTTGTTTGTTAATGGAACATGAACTAAAAGTTCGTGTTTTTCCTTGGGAAGCTCTGCGCTGACCAGGAAAAGGAGAAGATACAAGGCCAGGTGTCCTTGTTTTTTTCCCATTTGACCCTTCACAATCAGGTCTGTGCTCTGGGCCCAGGATTGCCTGTATCGATTAGCTATGGCTGGGTAACAAGTAACTCCAAAACTTAGCACCTTAAAACAGCAAACATTTATTCTCTCACACGATTTCTGTGGGCCAGGAGTTCAGGAGTGGCTCAGCGGGGTGGCTTTGGCCTCAGGTCTCCCTCAAGGTACACAGGCTGCCCGTCGGGCTGCGGACCCGCTTCTGTACAGCATATGTGCATGCCTGCTGTGTTGGTGCTGGCTGTTGGCAGGAGGCCTGGGCTCCCTGCCTTGTGGGCCTCTCTGTAGGAGTGCTCAGGTGTCCCCAGGATGTGGCACCTGGTTTCTCCCAGAGCAAGCGATCTGAGAGAGAGAGCGAAGAGGAAGCCTCGGGCTTCATGGCCTTGTCACAGAAGCAACCCTGTCCCTTCCACCCTTTTCCTGCTTATTAGAAGCAACTCAGAGATGGATGCAGCTCTGCCTTTGGAAGAGAGTGTCAAAGAGTTTGTAGGCATGTTTTAATCTTTTTTTTTTTTTAAATGGGGTCTTGCTTTTGTCCAGGCTAGAGTACAGTGGCATCATCCTAGCTAACTGCCACCTCTAATTCCTGGGTTCAGGCAATCCTCCTGCCTCAGCCTCCCAAGTAGCTGGAATTCCAGGCAACGGCCACCAAGCCCCGCTAATTATTTAATTTTTCTGTAGAGACAGGGTCTCAGTATGTTGCCCGGGCTGGTCCTACACGCCTGGGCTCAGGCAGTCCTCCATCTTAGCTTCCCAAAGTGCAGGCATTACTGGCTTGAGCCACCATGTGCATCCACATGGGCATGTTTTAAATCATCACACTGCTAAAGCTCCTGACAGGGCTCCTAGGACCAAGCGGCTCCTCCCAGGAGCAGTTTAGCACCTTCTTTCCCGTGTGATTGCGAGGTAGCATTGAGAAGATGTGCAACAGTGTTTACCTTGTTCTTTTGACACCAAACTAAGACTGTTCAGCACCTGAGGGGCCTGGAGCCCCAGAATCCTGGGGTGAGGGGGTGGTTAGAGGCTTTGGGGTATTGGGAGGGAGGAGCAGCCATACGCCCCTGAGGCCATAGTACCTGATGCCAGGCAGGGAGCCTTGTGTCCCCTCCCTCTCTTCCTTTTCTTTTCTTTTTTTTTTTTTTTTGAGATGGAGTCTCACACTCTTTCCCAGACTGGAGTGTAGTGGCGTGATCTCGGCTCACTGCAACCTCCGCCTCCTGGGTTCAAGCGATTCTCCTGCCTCAGCCTCCTGAGTAGTTGGGATTACAGGCACATGCCACCACACCCAGCTAATTTTTATATTCTTAGTAGAGTCGGGGTTTTGCCATGTTGGCCAGGCTGGTCTTGAACTCTTGAAATCATGTGATGCACCTGCCTTGGCCTCTCAAAGTGCTGGGATTATGGGAATAAGCCACCACACCCGGCCTTTCCCTCCCTTCCTTGACCTCATCTCTACCTCCGATGTGTTTCCTTCTAGGCCATTCTGGAGGAAAACAAGGAGAAGCTGCCACTTGACATCAACCCCGTAGTGCACCCCCACGACCACATCTTCAAGTGCGTAGCCCCCACTCCTTAGCCTGAGACTTGTCCCCAGTCGCTGCCTCCCACTCTTTGTGGTTCCCACAGCCCCAGAACAGTGCTTGGCACATGGCGCACAGCAAGTCAGCTGTGTCCTGTCTGGGCGCTGCAGTGACAAGTGCAGGGAGTAGTTCCTGGGATCCCAGAGAAAATGCCACGGAAAGTGCAAGAGTGAGCAGGGCTTTTTGGAGATTTTTTTTTTTTTTTTGAGACGGAGTCTCCCTCTGTCACCAAGGCTGGAGTGCAGTGGCCGGATCTCAGCTCACGGCAACCTCCGCCTCCCAGGCTTCACACCTCACCCATGAGGCCAGGCGTGGTGGCTCACGCCTGTGATCCCAGCACTTTGGGAGGCCAAGCCAGGCGGATCACCTGAGGTCGGGAGTTCAACACCAGCCTGGCCAGCATGGTGAAACCCTGTCTCTACTAAAAATACAAAAA